TGATGTACCATTCAGCCCGTGGTCAAATTTTGAAATTTCGAGTATCTTAAAGGGTCACTTATATACCGTTTATCCCCTTACCGTTTATTATGTGTTATGAGAATAAAGCGTATGTTTTGTGTGAGATATTTGAAAATAAACGTAAATACACCTCGAGATATCTCACAGCGACTCATGTAGTCAGATTTTGACATTTTGGCATCTTCACCCTCCTCTTTAAACTTACTTCTCTCTGTGACTTTCTTCAGTTTTATTTCCAATATCTTTCCACACTTTTGTTTTGATTCACTTCATTATTATGTACTGTTTCGAGGTGCAACATATTGAACTAATAAATTCTTGTAAATTATTTTATATTGTAATGTAGATTTCGTCAGGTGAATCAATATATCAGTTAGAGAATTATTGGAAATTAGTCAGAACTGAAGGGTTGCTTCGTCCTAGTTTAAGACTCTCCTCAGTAGTGTCTACGCATGATTCTAACGGGGATTGGTCCCACCACGTAACTAGTCGTCGATGTCGGTCAGTGAATTTCTCGGGAGTAATGAACACTGGACAGGTTTTGCTTCGTCTTGGTTTAGAGACTTTCCAACTGTCCGAGACGAAAATCTTGTCAGTGTGTTTCCGTTTCCTTCGGCGTTTTTTTTGGAGGGGGGCAATAAGTTCTTCGTTGATTTGTTGATTACCAGAATTCCTTGTCCTTTATTCTGGCTGGCTCGCTAGACATCTGATCTCCAGTATCATTGAGGAAAGGCAGTTGTTGATAAATGTCTTCAGTAGACCGTTGGAGATGTTTTTGATCACAAGCATACCAAATCTGTGAATTATATAGAAGCACTGACAGACGTGACATTAATGTTGAAGATCCAAATCTTGTTGCTTATGCTAGGTGCTGTGGATTGAACGTGTTTCTTGCTTTCTCTATCCGATCCTGGCTAGCTTTGAAATTCTTATCTGTGCTGCCTGTAGTTGGGACGATGCAGTGCAGGTTACTGATGGAGACAATTTCCTTTATATTTCTTCAATTGACAAAAAATGCTGCCTGGGTACCTCAATCACCTCTGTCTTGTTTTTGTGTTTACCTGAAGTCCACTCTTGGCTGCCTCTTTTGGTAATTTGTTGGTTTTCGCCTCTTGATCTTCGAATTTGTATGTGTGCGTCGGTGGCATAGTGGTTAGGACTCTCGCCGACCATGCACATGGTCCGAGGTTCGATCCCTGCCGACGAACACCTGATATCTATGGTCGGCCTGCGAAATTTGGGCTACCGATATCCATGCTGAAAATTCCATACTTGTACCAAAAATACAGTGTGGAACCAAGCTGTAATAAAAAAATAAAAATAAAATAAAGTCATCTGCGAAGTCTAGATTCTCCTGAGTATTTTTGTAAGTCCAACGTATGCTTGTTTTCTCAGTGGCCCTCACAATGAGGAATATTATTGGTAGTAGTTATGTTGTGCCTCATTTAATAATAATACCTTTCTTTGATGTCTTGGAGGTCAGTATTACTACCTCATTTTCTGAAATTCCGTGCTTCAAATATCAGTCTTCTCTAATGACTACAAAAAAACGAAAATTTGGGTGGGTGACTTGCCGCCTAACAGCAATTGACACTAAGAATCTTTATTTGACACAAAACTAATGATTTGGAAACTACTTTGCTACTACGGGGTGCCACCAACAATTATACACCTCATCCAACAGTTGTACAACAATGCCGCATGCCAAGTAATCCACAACGGGAAACTCACGGAATCCTTCGAAGTGAAGACGGGAGTAAGAGAACCTGGCTGCCTACTATCACCAGTGATTTTCCTGATTGCGGTAGAATAGATAATGTGATAGAGAGCGGGCAGTGAGAAACAGGCATAAAGTGGACCCACTTAAAATACTTGAAGGATCTGGACTTCACCGATGATATATGTCTGATTTCCCACAAACTGGAAGATATGCAAGTGAAAAGCAACAAGTCGGCAGAAGAAGCACCAGAGAAGATAGGACTTCAGATGAACATGGAAAAAACAGAGGTGATGAAGATCCCTTACCGACAGAAACAGCAAAAACAACAGACAAAAATCAGCATAAATGGAAGGAGCCTGAAAGAAGCAACCTCCTTTACCTGCCTACCTACCTACCTGGGAAGCACCGTTTCAACTACAGGCGGAACTGATGAGGATATCGAAACGAGGATCGGACAAGCAAGGTAAGCTTTCATTACTCTCGAGCCTGTCTGAAGGTCAACATCACTCAGCATGAAAAATAAGATCCGGATTTTTAACTCCAATGTGAAGTCAGTGCTACTATACGGGCTAGAGACTTGGCGTGTCAGAAAAGGCACTCCGAACAAACTATAGATCAGATAGTCATAAAAGATCAGCTGGTATCTCTGGGAACAACCAACCCAGCAGGGACCAGTTGTGCAACAAATATGCAGGAAGAAATGGAGATGGATTGGCTATACTCTGAGAAAACTATCAAGTGATATCACATGCCAGACTGTAGCTCGAGTGGAACCTGAATGGGAAGCGGCGAGTTGGTCGTTAGTGCGAGGGTGACATGGGGGAGGTCGTGTGAAGAGGAGATGAAAGCATGTGGGCAGACGTGGAGCCAGGTGAAAACGTTAGTGGAGAATCGAACTCGATAGAAACGTGGGGCTGAAGCCCTATGTTCCTCTAGGATGCAAAGTAAATAATAACAATAATAATATTCAATATTGTTGACTCGGAAAGTATTTGTTTTACTTTTGAAAATTTGAATCCATATTGCTTAGTAGTACTGAATTCAAAGATTTTACAACTGCAAGTAAGGTGCTGGGGAGTTTTTAATTCACAGCTGAATGATACAGTTGAACAATTCATCAGTTAGAAGATAACCGATTCGGGTTTCATAAACTCAATTTTTTTAATGTTTTGATACACTGTGACTTAGCCCTATAAGTTTTAGAAATCAGCTGTCTAAGGTTTGCTTAGAATACGGAGACTATCTGAAAAATGTGATGTATTAGCGCTATACATTTCGAACAATCTGATCACACATTTACTTGTCAAGTCAATATATATAGAAAGGTTAAATTAAACAGACTGAAGGAAAAAGGAATTAAGAATAATTATCACAAATGTTTGGTAATCCAATCAAATAAGGATTACCAAGGTAGGTTAAGAGTAATAACAAACTGTTTTTGAATACACAAGGGGGGCTTAAGTCTACGAATAGCTATAGCCTCAGTGTATTTCAGTAAACGCCCTTGACCGTTATTTATAGATGACCTTAAAGGCTGAGTTAACATCAATCTTATGATAAAGAAAGGAAGACGAAATTTGCAGAAGGTGGGAGTTTAGCGGATCGCACTTGTTTCAGGAACTGCCGTGGGAAACAACCAGTTTGCAAACACTGTTCATAGAACCTGATCTTTGTTGATTCTCTAGATATTCTGCATCGTATGGTCACCACCTGATTCAGTGACTTAATAGTTGGGGCGGGGAGGTGGTGACCATACGATGCAGAATATCTATAGAATCAACAAATATCAGGTTCTATGATCAGTGTTTGCAAACTGGTTGTTTCCCACGGCAGTTCCTGAAACAAGTGAGATTCGCTAAACTCCCACCTTCTGCAAATTTCGTCTTCCTTTCTTTATCGAAATTTATCAAGGGAACCAAATGTATGAATCAATCTTATGGTTCATCTCGATTAGATGTTTAGCTATAGACGAAGTTGGTAGTCTGACACCTGCATCTATTGGCTTGTCACAATTCATGTTTTTCTATTCATTTTGGGATATGCTCCCCCACCCTCACGAGCAAAACGCGATTACTCCTCCCTATGTATGTATGTCCACACACACACACGAAAATTGGTATGTATAGCGCTAATACATCACATTTTTCAGTTAGTCTCTGTCTTCTAATAACGCTATCAAAATTTATAAAAGGCACTAATTGTTTTAAATTGCTTAGAATAACTTACATAGTATAATTATAAAGTAATAAACAGTGCTTAAGTGGTTTTTCCTTAAACAATAAGCATATATTATTGTCTGAGGCCTAATGATACTAAATGACTGTCTAAACACCGATAGTAAGTAGGGTGAGCAGAGTTCGAACCTGTGACCCAACTGGCCGGTGGTTGAAGGCATAGACCAATGACCCACAGTCTTACTAAATAATGACTAATGCCTTTTGTGATGAACTTTCTTACCCTCCTTTCAACTTTGCTGATGATCACACTTAGCCTTAGAGTTCGATCGCCAGTTTTATCTACTCACTAATCTTCTAAGTAGTCTTTGCTACAAACTAAACTTTACGACAGAGTTAAACTATCATAGCCAAAATCACAATGACCTTGAACAACCAATCAGAATTCAGATGCAAAAAAGTCGCATAATCGTTGAAAAATACAGTATAAAATATAGCAGACCTAATATGATTACACTGTATAGCTGTATCTTAAGTCATATAAGAATGCTTCCCAGTCAATACACAGATGATCTATAGATAAATGGTACCACGCACGGTATACCCATTCATCCAAGTAACTGTAGGTCATGATACTTTGAGATGCATTGATATTTCTGACACTATTCTCCAACCAACTCCAAAACCTAACCATAATCTTAAAAAGTCAAAACCCTACCTAACAGTGTCGATTTGCAGAAAAAGTACCTAGTAAATATGTAAAATACTGTATCTGTCCTCTCCAAGTCGAAAAAGTCAGGCATGGTTTGATATGGAATGACATTTCATAGCATTCTGTGTGTCGGATCGGTTCTTGAAGGTAAAATTTTGAATGATCTTGACTTCGGATGTGATGCCTTAACTTCGCCAACTTTACTTCTACTGAGGCTGCTTCTTCTGCTAATGCTGTTGATATATTATATCAAACAAAATAATATCATATTTATACATTCGCTTTATATTTTCAAAAGTGTGGTCATGTTTATCACAAGGATTTCAACAGTGTACTCTAATTCTTATTTTATCAATTCATTATTGAATTTTAGCTTTATATGAGAAAATATTAATCGGTGAACTGGATCAACTGCATAGATCCCTTGAACAACGATGTCTCCTATCGAATACATTTGATTCTAATAATCTGTCAGTCTTATGTACAGAAGATGGACGTGAGAATACGAATACAACTATGACAGGATCAGGAGCAATGACATCAGCTGGACTGAAATCTGGTAGTCCAGCTCTTGGTACAAATCTACCAGCGTTGACTACAGATCCAGCGAGAGCATTACTTATCGCTGGACAAGTTTGTGATTGGCCAGGTTGTGGAGCTGTCCTTGGACCAGATACTTCTTTTATTGAGTAGGTCTAATATATATCACATTGGCTTTATGTTGTCAGCTATTTATTTTTTTCTATTAAATGTGATTACTTATATAAGCTTTATTTTTCCTGCTTACTGTGACTCACTGGTTCAGGCGTTACACTTACATGCATAAGCTGTCATCTTCAAATAGTGAAAACTGAGCAGTGTTCGGATGTCAACTTTAGTCGATTTGTATCACAGGTTTATAATTTTCAAATTTTCAGTAAAATAGGCTTCAATCGAATTTTCTATTCTTATTAGTTAATATTTTCAAGGAGGTTTATAATTTCTCAGTGTTACAAAATCAAGTCCTAGTTTTAAGGATGATTTCGAAGTGATATTTTTTAGAGAATTATTGAAAAGTAAGAAGCACTGGTTAGTGGTTTCGTCACAGTCTTGAACTCTTCATCAGTGCCTATACAAAGACCTCATCAGGGATTTAAACCTGGACTTTCACTGTTAAATGAGTTTGACATAAAACAGTGATACAATATATATATATATTGTATCACTGTGTTTTATCAGCTAGATCTATCTACTATGTAATTATACTCTGCCACGATGCCCTCATTCTACACTTAGTGGAAATTCAGGTTAGTGACCTACTCTTCTATGGGACAGATTTTTTGTAGTTCTAATGAGAAGTCACGTTCATCGGTGTCTCCCAAGTTGGATGGGAGGGCAGATGCTCACCTATTGCTTGGATTTAAGTTAGAGCTATATCCCAAATGGATAAAAGTTAGAACTTAATGGTCATGGGATTCAAAGCCACTAATGTAATGGCCATTGATCTGACGTCATAACCTGAGGGTCCTGACTCAAATTCCTGTCGAGGTCATAGGTGCTCACGATTGAGGAGTCTCACACTAGGACAATACAGTTGTCCAGTGTTCCTTGATCTGTGACCTAACTTCGAATCAGTCAAATCCCTGCTAATCAACACTTGAGGATTAAACTTTAATTTCTGAGTGATGAAAAGCATGATTTCTCATTCGTAATATTCTTTAGCAAATGAAATCTTAATAACATTGTGGAGTTATCGGGAACCTTTTGTTATTGATGGTTAATTGCGATATTTATGTGTTATTTAGTCGCCTAATTAGTTTGAATAGGTCAGACGTTATAAGTTTGACTACGCCACTGGGTATTGTGTGTTCAAATCTGCGGGGGGCACATCGATTCCTTCGTGGTTGCTAATATTGTCTTTGCGGAGATGTAATAATAATAGCTATATTCCATACACTATGTTTGATACAACCGGAATTTTTTAGTGTACGGCTTATGAGCTCTATTACTTTTTGTCTTTAAGTCAGTAGTCTCTGGATTCAGATCCCCTTCATCTATTTCAGATTGGGAAACTGATTCAGTAGTATCATCATTTTTGGTTTATGAAAAACGTATTCTGGAAAAATGAGTTCCAAAAAACAAACTGTAATTGTTTTTATCCGAAAACAAAATATATTGATATGTGTTCTCAAACTTTTCTACAGCTGGAGACGGTTTTCGACTCTAAGTTGTTTTTTTCAAATTCGTCTTCTTCACATAAGCAATACTGTATGAAGGTCAATCAAAATAAGCTATTGAACTTTAGAGACTAACTTCCTTCCAAATGGGGATATCTCTGGTATATCATTTCAGTAAATTTTGAGGCTAACTGAAGTCGTTTATGATGTCAGTCACAAGTTGGTTGTTGTTGTTGTGTTACGTACTAACAAAATCTCACTAGTTTTAAGTTCTCTTCTCCTCTCAGGACATCAGTAAATCCATTTCGAAGCAGGCCTGAGGTGGTAGTTTACAGTCTGAAAGCATAGCTGAAGGTCAACTTCTAAGTGTTTAAAAAACGACGATACTTTGACCTTGAGAAAAGATTCATGATATGCTATGATATTTTGTCACTAATTTAGTTGATTTTATCAACACTTGGCTCATTACCAAATATTTATGATCACATATTATTGTACAGTTGCCAATAGATGATCCTGAAACTCTGTCTGCGTATATGTGTATCTGTGTGCTTGAATAGACCTAAGCATGCGACGTCTACTTTTGAAGTCAATTGGTGGTCGGTGACTAGCAGTGGAATTCAGGATGAGCATTTCGTCTTATTTGGGACTCGTCACTGGATGTACCTGCATTCCTCAGTGAGTCAGACATGGTGTTCTCACTGTGTCCCAAACCCAGTCCCCATCCTCGATTCCACTGCTAATCACCATCCGCCAATTGAATTCACATTACATGCATCTGCACAAGAAGCCGACATGTCAACCTGAGACCGAGAACTTCCATCCAGTCAGTCGACAGGAAAATCTAAAATTGAATTAAATAATCACGTCTACTCTTCCTCATCGGGAAATGTTAGCCGACTTATGACTAAATCGTAAAAAAGTGGGTTCAACCAAAACAACGGCCCCAATCCATAAATTAAAAGTCAATCTGAACGAAGTATATTCTTTTAAAACAATTAGTTCCTTTTATAAATTTAGATAAAGCAATAAGAAGACGAAATTTGTCTGAATCGTGTAATGTATTTGCGCATCACATTTCGAACAATCTGATCACACACGGACTTGTCACAGGACTGTATATATATATAAAATTAATAAAGAGGTAAGAGGTGAGAAAAAAGACTACTTAGGTCAAGTTAAAAGGACATATTCAAGGTCAAAATAACAATATTCAGTTGCTGCAGGGCACAATGACATCTAATCTACTGAAGCTTCATGGCCTAAATGCTATCAGTAAAGATCAACTTGACTCATTAAAACCACCAGATTGTAAATTCCCACATATGTATGGGTTGCCAAAATTACATAAACCCAATAATCCTCTACGTCCTATATTGTCAATGTGCAAATCCCCAACGCATAAACTTGCTAAATGGTTAGTGGAATTATTGAATCCAGTCAAAACACAATTCTGTTTTTATGTGTTAAAAGATACATTTGAATTGGTTGATGTTCTTGATGATATTAATATTATAAATAAGAATATGTACTCTTTTGATGTAAACTCGTTATTTACTAATGTGCCTTTGATCAAAACAGTTGACATTTTGTGTGATTATATTTCCACAAACAATTTTTTCATCCCGTTCCCTATATCTTACTTAAGGGATTTATTACTTCTATGTACTAACAATGTTAGGTTTACATTTGAAGGCGATTGTTTCCGCCAAGTTGATGGTGTTGCTATGGGCAGTCCGTTAGGGCCCCTTTTAGCAGATATTTATATGTCGTACATTGAGAATTTATCGGAAGATTTAATCGAAAATGTGCCACTTTATAGAAGGTATGTAGATGATATCGTAGTCATCAGTGATAAGCCTTGTTCTGCCACCTCAATTTTAAATCGAATGAATGAAGTTCAGAATAGCATATCACTTACATCTGTTAGAAGAGGAAGATAATTGTTTATCTTTCCTAGACATATTGCTTAGTCGACGGCTTGATGGGTCAATAAAAAGATCTATTTATAGAAAACCTACCTGGACAGGACAGTATCTTAATTACCACAGTTTCTGCCCTATTCGGTACAAAAGAGGCTTAGTAAGGTGCCTCTTCAGTAGAATCCGACGAATATGCACTGAAGACACGCTTGATGAAGAAGAAAGAAAGTTGACACAAACTCTGGTTGATAACAATTATCCAGACAAGTTCATCAGGAGATATAAAGTAGTCAGAACACCAAACCCACTCTCCAACTCGCCCCTAAGAAAGACGTGTACATCAAGCTACCCTATATGGGACATCAAAGCAGCTTGATAACTAGACAAAGGCTGAACGCTGCTGTTAAAAAGACTTTTATGCAGCTAATATCATAATAATAGAGAATGTAAAGCCATTATATCTATCTAAGCCCTTCGAACATGCGAAAAATGACGTCACATCCCACTGTATTTACCAATTTGAATGTACGTGTGGACACACATACATAGGGAGGACTCATCGATCTCTTTTTTTTTTTCCTTCAGAGCATATTCCAAAATGGCTCCAGAAACAAATGGAATCATCAGAACCTATTAACGGTGAGAACAGGAGACCTAGCTCTTCTATTGCGAAACATATTATAGAGACAGGTCATAAAATTGATGTTAACAGATCTTTTAAACCTATCTATAAAACGTGTTTGGGGCGTATCCTAAAGTTTGTAGAAGCCCTAGCAATTAGAAAGTTCAAGCCACCTTTATGCGTTCAAAAACAATTTGTCATCACATTAAACCTTCCTTGGTAAATTTTGTTTTGATACCAAAGTAGATGTACTATTACCTCTGCTATTTGGTTTAGTGGTCTTCATTTTTTTTTTGACCTTGAATATGTCCTTTTAACTTGACCTAAGTTCTTTTTTCTCACCTCTTACCTCTTTATTAATTTTATATATATTCCTGTGACAAGTCCGTGTGTGATCAGATTGTTCGAAATGTGATGCGCAAATACATTACACGATTCAGACAAATTTCGTCTTCTTATTGCTTTATCTGAAGAATATTCTTTTCAATAATTTCTCTTTAGGTTCTTACATTTATATAATATTTGTAGTCGTTACAATAAAGGCCAGTTATGCGGCGGATACATTTTTAACGTAGAATAACAGATTAATTATGAGGTGTCAAAATAAATAGTCGTATTTGTGTGGCAAACGTGCTAGGCTGAAATCGATTACAAAATATTGTAAAACGGGAGAAGAGAAATTATTGAAAAGAATATTCTTCGTTCAGATTGACTTTTAATTCATAATATGGGAATATTTCACACTATCAATCCATAAAGTCTTTGACTATGTTGATTTCAGCCATTTAGAAAGGTGAAGACATGGTTCAAATTGTTGGAAATTCAGTTCAGTTCAGTTTCTTTTCAACGTCAACATTTGCTTATTCACATCCGTTTATCGAAATCACATAAATTGGGGTCCAACTATGTTGCATAGGTTTATATTCAAAAATAGCTTAATGCAAAGTAAATTACTTAGTTTTTATGAGATTGAGGTGAAATTATTAATA